GGCAAGGCGAATGGCTGCTTCATTATCCACGCTTAAAGTTGATATGTCCGCCAAACTTGTAAGTTGAGCATAGATCCTCTGAAGCCACACAAGTTCTCGTGCACCTTCGCTCGCTGCCACAATTTCCGCTTCGGTTGTTGAAATCGCGACCGATGCTTGACGTTGGCTTAGCCACGAAACAACTCCATCAGCATACATACAAATAACGCCTGTGGTTGAGCGTCCACTAAGCTCATCACCACCGTGATCTGCATCACTATATCCTCGAATTACAGCTTTGCAAGGACCCGAACTGTATTTGATGCCATGGGACATTGTTCCTTTAAGGTATCTGAAGATCCTCTTGACTCTCAGCTAATCAGCTTCTGTCGGATTCTCCAACTTCCGTGATACTACCCCAACAGCATACGCGATATCGGGGCGCGTCCCTATCATCAGGTATGCTAAGGCTCCTACTGCCTCTCGATAAGGAAACTTTTTCTCAGGTGCTTTCCCTGTTTCTGAAGTCACTGTTTCGATTGGTGTAGAGACGGGATTGCAGTCAATCATATTGAAGCGTTCGAGGATCTTCCGCGTATAAGCTTGTTGGCTTATAAATATAGATCCATCCTTGGAACGTTCTATTTCAAGGCCAAGGTAATACGAAGCCGGCTTGCTTGTGATTTTGACAGCTTGTCCCAGCTCCTTCAAAAATTTAGTTGCCAAAGCCTCGCTTGTAGTGGCCATGAGTCCGTCATCCACGTACAACGCCAACAAAATCTTATTGCCCCCTTCTGTCTTTGTAAAGAGACAACAATCAGCTTCATTCTGTGTGAATCCTTTTTGCAACAGAATGTCTTCAATGCACATGTTCCAGAAACGAGGAGCTTGCTTTAGGCCATATAGACTCCTCTGTAGCCTGCATACTTTCGAAGAGCCATCAGAAAAGCCAGGAGGTTGTGACATGTATATTTCCTGCTCTAATTTCCCATTTAATAAGGCTGTCGCGACGTCAAATTGTGTTAAATGAAGTTTCTCTTGTGCAGCAACGCTTAAAAGAGCTCTAATGGTAGACATCCTGGCTACCGGACTATATGTCTCCTCATAATCTAGCCCTTTCCGTTGTCTCAACCCTTTAACGACCAATCGCGCCTTATATTTGTCTATGCTTCCATCTGGGTGTCGTTTAATCCGAAAAACCCATTTACATGGTAGCGCCTTTCTATTAGACGGGAGCTCGCACAGTGTCCATACATTATTGTCCTTGAGTGACTGAAGCTCGCTGGCCATGGCTTTCCGCCATTCCGCACCGTCAGTCCTACTTATTGCTTCATGGTAGCTCTCTGGAAAGTTTTCTGTGCCTACAAAGCAGACGTAGTCATCGAACTTCTTAGGGGGAGCAAGAGTTGACCTGTCTCTAAGGTTATATCTAGGTTCCTCTTCTCTCTGGGGCTCATCTCTCAGGGGCTCGACTACAATTTCCTCTTCTTCCCCTTCTAGTCGAGGCACCTCTACTCTCAGAGGTTCAACTATGTCAAGAGGTTGCTGTTCCCCTTCAGCCGGAAAATTCTCTTCCCCTTCAGCATCGACAAACTCTCCATCATCATCTTGCTCAGTAGTATCAGTAGCATCCTCAGACCCTAACCGTAATGTGAATTCAACATTACTTTGAAAAGTTATGTCTCTGGATTTGAATGTTTGATGTCCGTCCCACACACGATATCCATCGTCGTTTTCATAGCCAATAAGAATGCCTTTCATGGCTTTCCTAGACATTTTGTTACGCTTCTGCTTTGGGATATGTGCATAACATTCACTACCAATAACCTTGAGGTGTGATATTCGAGGTTTTTTGCCGTGCCATAGTTCGTATGGAACTTTGTCTGTCACTCGACTTGGGCCTGTTCTATTCAGAACATACGCTGCGGTATTAATCAATTCCGCCCACAAAATTTGCGGTAACTCATTCCTTGCATGCATCATACTTCTCGCGGCCTCTACCAGGGTTCGGTTCTCACGCTCACTACACCCGTTCTGTTCCGGTGTGTAAGGCATTGTCAGTCTGTGCTGTATACCAAAATCCTGTAGTATTTTCTTGACGTCCTTATTATCAAACTCGCCACCGTTGTCACTAAGCAAGGTTTTCACATTATGCCCAGCATTCTTTGCCTCTTTCAGCATCTGCAGCAACTTGTCCTTGACTTCTGACTTCTGACGTATGAAGTAAACCATACGGTAGCCTGAGTAGTCGTCCTTGAACAATACGTAGTACCGGAGTTTAGTTATGCTTGGTGCAAAAGGACCGCATACATCTGTATGGATTAGCTCTCCACATACAGTAGCTCTTTCCCTGGTTCCAAAGGTCTGTCTTTGGGACTTCCCATATATGCAGCCTTCGCATTTAATATTATCAGGCTTGAGGTTCACGCCTAATTCACGTTTTACGACGCGTATTACATGCCGCTTGTCCTGATGTGCAAAACGCTCATGATAGAGCTGCAGCATATTGGAACCGGTGACAGCATTTACCTGTATAGCTCTCGGTGTTGTTGGAATTACCGTTTTAAAGTCCAACTTGTAAAGGCCTCCCTTTGGGATCCTCCTGCCAACGACTTTAGTCATGCCTTCAATTTCCAACTTGCATTTTTTTGTCGTTGATGTAAAAATACTGTTCTGCGCTCTGTCTTGTGCCGCCAACGGTGAAAAGAGATTTTTTGTGAGTGATGGTACTAGCCAGACTTCTTCAAGAGTAATATGGACTTTAGTTTCGTTGACCTTGGATTCAACTTTAATAGAACCTATTCCAACTGCAGGAATCACAGTCCCATCCGCTGTAGTTACTGTGTGATTTGAATCGAATTCACGAAAATCCGTAAACATCTTTCTTGAAACGGCTATGTGCGTGGTTGCTCCGTTATCAACATACCAAGATTCTTTATCTTGTATTTGATTAACTGTGCACGCGTTCACCATCAGCGATAAGTTCTGCACTTGGTTAGATTTAATGTCTGAATGTGACGTGCTTGGCTTTGGTGGTCTTCCATCCTTTATCCATTTCTTGCACTGTCTAACTCTATGTCCTTTACCGGAACAGTAGTTACATTTCAGATCATTTCTCTCCTTCTTGTGCTTACTCTTTTGCTCTGCAGGTGTAGTCACCAGTGCTTCCTTTTGGATGGTGCTCTCTGGACCACCTAAATCTCTTTCAAATGCGCAGAGATGACTCGTAAGACTGTCGATCGTTTTCTCAGACTGCTTCAGCATTAACCAGCTCGACTTAAAATTAAAATACCTGTCATCCAGAGTATGTAAAACCTTGCAGATAAGGAATAGATCAGGCAGCTTAGCTGTTGCGTCTACTTTCTGGATCTCCACTACTAGGTCGTTCCATAAATTCTTTAGCTTTGACAGAAGTGTAGGAATATCATCCTCTTGATCCCGTTTTAGCCCAAAGAATTCAAGACACAAGTTGTAAGCCCTGTCCTCTGTCTGCCTATCAAAAAGTCGATGCAGTTCTGCCCAAACTTCGTGTGCCGTTTTGTAACGCATAACCTTCTTTAACGTTTCTTCAGTCATATTGGTTGTCAGCATCAGGAGTGCACCGCTTTGAGTCCTCTTATATTTAGCCATTGCAGCATTATAAGTGCTTTGAGCAGCATCTCCTGCACCAGGTGGTAAAACTGGCATTGGAAGTCTATTTTCTACTGCTTCTAAAGCACCTTCCGTACCCTCAAGCATGACTGAAATTTTGTACTTCCATGTTTGCCAATTGTTTTTGCCCTCTAGTTTTCCGATCTCTAATTTCGTTGAGAAATCCATGGCACTTTTCAGTCGTCCAGTGGTGGTGGGTCCCAATACCTATTAAATGTGGTCTACTTATTTTCTTACCAATCTGGAAGCTCCGGAGACTAAATCGTGATCGATGTATTTCCCACTTTAGATTTCGGCTAGATAGTAGGGGTTTTCTCTAGTATGACAACACTGACACTTTATAGCGATAATTTAGGTTTATTTGGTTACAAAATATTTAGATTATTTGTTTATTTATTTAGTTTTATATATTGCACACATTCGACATGATCTTCTTTTTATTCACGAGTGACATTAAATTTTTCTAACAGTTAGTTGCCTAGCAATGTACCAAAGAGCTTTTCACTAGTGCTATGCAACCTCAACAATCTATACTAATATTATAAAGAGGTAAAATTTGTATGTTTGTAAGTTTGTATGTTTGTATGTAGGGGCTACCCCTTGGAACCGTTGGTCGGATTTCCAAAATTCTTTCACTGATAGATAGCTACAATTATCCTGAGTGCTATAGGCTATAAAGCATCACGCTCCGATTTAATGGAGCCGAGCAGCGGGTGAAACCGTGCGAGAGTATCTAGTATCAAATATATGTCTGAGTTCACGCCCCAGCCACCGGCACCGCAGCAAACGACATTCCAGGCGTTTGGGATCAAGTGACGATATCCGACCACCATAAACACGTGTCCGTCTATAAACCGAATTCTATTATATTTGGTACAGACATAGTTTGGCACTCCAGAAAGGACATAGGATAGGTAGTTTTTATATCAAAAACCTGCAGGAAGTCACACGCGAACAAAGTCTCGGGCAAAAGATGATAAAAAATCGACATAAGTACAACCCGGGTTTTTTGATACATTGAAAGAACTGGTTTCTTAAGCTAGTCACATCGGGACATCCAACACATCAATAAAGTATATATAATACTTTAACTAGTAGGTATACTACTCTAAGAGTAGGTACCTTCTTACAATAATTGAATATCAGTAGAAACGGGCGAGCGGGACGATAATAGTTATAGCCACAAAATGTATATCTGTTGAAATAACAACAACGTTTAGAATTTCCAGTTAGGTGTAATAATATTTATAGACACTGAATACTTATGAATTTGTGTATTAAATAGAAGCAAAGACCTAAAAACAATATTTTAATTTTTACTGGCAATTCTAAACTAAGAATGTGAAAGTATATGTCAAATTATTAGAAATGTCAACAGTTCATTGACGTTGCTTTGCATTGCAATTGCAGCAAGTTGCCGACGTCAACAGTCAACAACATAATCTGCAACGAATAATTTTCAATAAACTAAAAGTTTCATTTATTACAAACTTTAAAGTTTATAATTATAAAATAAATGTATTAAACTGAAGACTAAAAAACGGTAAGTACTTATTCCATAATGTAAATGTGTATATTATATTATTTATTATGAATTTCAAGGGTTAATATAAAAGAAACTAAGTATTAATTTTATTTTATTTACTCCCAGATATCTTCGTATAGCAAAATCAAAAGATCTTCCAGATATGATTTGTTGGTACTTGCCAAAAATAAAATTATGGTTTTGTAAGTAATAATTAAATCACTTTGGCACTGCATTGACCTAATGCGATAGAATTTATTGTAGACTTCATATCACAATCACAAACACCATTTTTGTATTGAGTAGATTCCACGTATTAGTGATTACACTGTTATCATTTACTTTAGCCATGAAAATAAAAAAATGTGTTAAGTTATATCTTTAGCAAAAATCTATTGACAATTTTCGTAGTGATTTAATCAGTTATTTTATCGTTAATTTTTTTAATGTTTATGTTATCTTTATCAAAGGTTCCTATGAATCCAACTGACACACCTGAGGAAGCTGTAGTCAAATCAGAACTTGTTTTGGGTGACGAAGCAGTTGAACCTCAGGAATTAGCAACGGCAGCCACACAACTTAATAAGCCAGAAGACATGGACAGTGATGCAAAAAAATCGAATAATCGAAGATTTAATAATTATGGTAACAAATGTATTCTATTTAAAAAGAAACATTGACAAGAGAGTAATCAAACTTGCTGGAAATCATTTAAATTATCATTGTATTCTTTGCAGGATATGTTAAATACGTAAGCTTGGTGATATTAACAGTACAAAATGCAGCATTGGGCCTTAGTATGAGGTATGCTCGTACTAGAGATGTAGAAATGTTTTCATCAGCAGCTGGTAAATTTATTATAATTTTTGATCTCTTATCATCATACAATAAAAAGTATGAACTGTAATCAGTGGTGCTATTAATTAACTTTGTTTTTATCATGTTTCAGCTGTTTTAATGGCAGAAGTGTTTAAACTTGTAATATGCATATGCCTCGTTATGCATGAATCTGGTGGTGTTGAAAAAGGGGTCCAATCAATGTACAAAATAGTTGTATTAAACATTAGAGACACTTTAAGAGTATGTGTGCCCTCATTTCTGTACATTGTACAAAACAACTTACTCTATGTGTCCGCATCCAATTTAGATGCTGCCACTTACCAGGTAACATTTTACCTAAATATTCAGTGTTGTGGTGATGGATAATATTCATCAAATTGAATAATTTGCTTTGCTTATGTATACTTTATATAAAATAAGCTGAATTCTGGTTTCAGGTTACATATCAATTAAAAATATTGACAACAGCATTCTTTGCCGTTGTTGTATTGAAAAGGCAGCTCAAAAAATGGCAGTGGCTGGCATTAGTTATCTTGGCGGCGGGTGTCGCTATTGTACAGTTGTCTTCAACAGAAAAAGCACATGCTACATCACATTTACCAGAACAATCCAAGATCATAGGATTCAGTGCAGCTCTAGCAGCATGTTTCTTATCTGGTTTTGCTGGAATATACTTTGAGAAAGTACTTAAAGAATCAGACATATCTGTAAGTGGAATTATGACTATGTTTATTAATATTGAGAAATGGCATTGTTTACTGTCTTTTGTTTAATAACAAACAAATAGGTGACCAACTACACTTTGTCCTTGAGAAAAACTTATCTTTATTGTGTAAGCAGTAAAGGCGATTATTGATTGGCTGCCACCTGTGAAGTAAACAGTTTTGTCTAATGTGAATATGGAACATCTGTCTCTACATTATTCTCTTAATTCAATTTGCATAGCTATAAAACAGTATATGGTGTGAGTTTTAATTACACAAAAGGTGCCACTCATGGCCATTCAGTTATTATAGCGTCATTGTAATTTTATATGCTACTATCAGTTCACCACACATTTGGAACTTAAAATCTCTAAAATATGACTATTTATCAATAATTAACTGTACTGAAAGGTCAAAATAATTCAACTTTCTTTAAAAAAGCTACACAAATTCTACTAGGTACTCACAAGCATTGAAGTTGCGATAAAATTATAAAAAGTTTAGTTTGGCTGAGTATAAAATGCCATGACAAGTTAGATCTTATGATATAGGTTTTTTAATCATTTGTTTTGGGTGAATCTTCATCGTTTTTGCGAAGTCATTATAATTAATGACTCTATTTTTATATTGTTTCAGGTATGGATGAGAAATGTGCAATTGAGTCTATTATCGTTGCCATTTGGAACCGTTACTTATCTTATAAATGAGGGAACACAAAATAATTTATTGAAAGGCTTTGATGGTTTTGTGTGGTATCTAGTCTTATTGCAAGCAGCGGGCGGACTCATAGTTGCTGTGGTCGTTAAATACGCAGATAACATATTAAAGGGTTTTGCAACATCAGTTGCAATTATCATATCATGTGTAGCCTCCATCTACATATTCAATTTCATCTTAACTGTACAGTTTGCAATCGGCACAATATTCGTCATATTTTCAATTTTCTTGTATGGCTATGTACCCAAGAAACCAGAGCCTCGGACTTCTTTAAATGTATGATCACTTTTATGATATAGGTTAAGCAATCTGTATAAATTTTACTTTGCTTTATAGTTAGTTTATCACTATTTTTATATTGCTTGCCTATATACACAAGACTTTAAAATTATTAATCTTAAAGTATTATTATCAGGGTAAAGTGGTTTAATTACCTAACAAGATTCAACACAGCCATAACTAAGCTTTTGTTGGGCTTGCTGAGCTATTAATAATCATGAGAACCCATTACAATTAAGTTTAGAAAAACAAACATTGATTAAGTATTTCTTGATTAGACTAAGATTCTGATAATATATTAATTCATACTTTTGTAGTATAAATAATAAATTAGTTAGAAATGTAATCAACTCAATAAGTTATAAGTAATTGTAGTTGATACTTTGGTACATAGCAATAATAATTTATTTTTATCAAAATTGTGACTTAAAATTAGTTTAGTTATACCACAAAATATGTTTTAGAGGTAACTAAAATAATATTTTGATAAAAAACGGTAGGTAAATATAACAAAAGATTAAAGAATAAAGTAAAAAAAGATTCTATGCTAATTTATATTTCTAAATAATGAAATTAATAAATGATGTACAACTTAATATGAATTTATAATCTTTCTCTTCCTCATTTGTTCCAGCCAATTAGCAAGTTGTTGTTGTGGTGTTTGTGGATTTCTCTTGTAATAATCTACTGGTGGTTTCCCCTCCTCCAACCTCACAAAATAGTGACTGAACTGGTACCTCACTTCACCCATACGACCTCTGGCATGTCTTCTTATTCCCTTGATTACCATTCCCTTACCAGAAAAAGATTCAGCTAAAAATAAGTTACACATTATTTTAGGATATGGGTATTCATCTGAGCATAGATTTTGTATATAAAATGGTTTGGGTACTGGACATTTTAATAGATACAAGTCTTGGTAGCTTATCTTCTTAGCAAGAAGAGCTTGTCTCAAACACAAATGATGTATACTTGAATAATCTAGCTTAACTCACCAACCCACAAATTGCTTCTAAATTCCACATTGTGTTCTTTTACAGCTAGTTCTTGAGCTTCAAGTATGGCTTCTTTAACAAATATTGCTCCCTTTTTTGGTACAAAACTGAGTTGTTTTATAGCTTCATCAACTGTCATACCTCTGACAAAACTGGCAATGTACCACAACTTTTCTGGGCTATACTTTATATTGGTTTTTTGAACACATACAAACTGAAAACAGAAAAATATTAATTTTAGTTTCTAATTGAATAATGATTTATGTAATGTTGCTCATAAGTATCTTGATTTAATTGGTTAACTTCTGTCTTATAATTTCAGGAATAATAAAAAGATGAAGATGAACTATAAATTTTGAAGATACATATCTAGGTGGAGTTGAATCTCACAATAATGGATATTATTTTTAAGTATGTTAAGAAATATTAAGGCACTCTGTGTTAATTAATTATAATGAATTATGCTATTCTAATCAAAATTAAGAAGTTATGTTGGTAGATTGCATCAAACTTGTGTTTCAAACAGTCAATATCATAAATATCAAGCTGTAAAATCTTTGTTTCTTTGTCTGGTTTTTATTAATAAATAATGTTATGTAGATGGAAGGAAGTAAGTACTTATTACTTGGGAATAGCAAGATTTAAATTTGAGTTGGTATTATATACAAATTCATGACTTACTGCAGGCCTAGGTTCTTCATCAGGTGATTGAGGAGGATATATTTTATTATTGTGCCGCAAAAATCTTTTCGGTTTATTGTCAGTTTTAGACCAGGCTAAAGCTGGCGCACTGGTGTGTATACTTTTTAATTGGTTTGATTTTAAACCAATAATGCATAAGTTCTTCAAGAAATTATTCATTGTAACTACGGGTAATCGAGTAAATAAACTAATACAGAACTGGTAATAAGCAATTTATTTATATTACTAACCTAAATTATCAATACCGATATTCACATTTCAATGGAAATGAAATTGACATATTATTATATTATTATTTGACATTTGACAGAGAGATACGTCGTGATAGAGTAGAGAGCACTCGCTGTATCGTGAAAATAATAATCAAAGCGAGTGCTTAGCTCTGGTCTGTGCTTAGAAAAGATCAAATCGATTAGAAAGTCTTGGAATAACTAATTAAATGCAAAATTAATACATTCAACTATTACCTGCAAAAATATTAAGCAAAACTTTAAAATGTTAATTTTACTAAATTACTAAAGAGCCTGTAATCAAGTCACTACTCATTTATTTAAAAAGAAAACAATTGACGTTGCCATTTGCTACTGTTGCCAAAACCATGACTTCGTGATGAAACGAAATCTTTCATTCAATATCTATCAATGAATGTTCGTGTGATTTTTCTACGATTAACTTCCCGGTAGGAATAAACATAATATAGACGAATTTATTGTAGTTTTAAACGAGCCTTTGTATCTTATGACACTTGAAAATGCGATGACTGTTCTATGCAAGTTTTAACTAACCGCAATGTTTTATTTATTTTTTACACTCTAGAATCGAAGTTCATTGTAAACAATGTGTGATATCTACATAGCGGTTGTGTGTTCTTCGAACATGAACCGCAGTATGGAGGCTCATGCATTCTTGGCGAAGAAAGGCTTCAAAGTAAAGTCTTATGGAACAGGAGAAAAGGTTAAGTTACCAGGTGCTTCTGCGGATCGACCGAATTGTTATGAGTTTGGTGTCCCGTATGATGATATTTACAATGATTTATTGGAGAAGGACAAAGTATACTATACACAAAATGGCATTCTACATATGTTAGATAGAAACAGAAGAATCAAGCCAAGTCCAGAGAAGTTTCAAATATCTACTGAGAGATTTGATGTTATAATTACATGTGAAGAAAGGGTGTATGACCAAGTTATAGAGTGGTTCGGATCAAGGAGATCAGTGTATAACCAGCCAGTCCATGTTGTGAATATGGATATTCAAGACAACCATGAAGAAGCAACCATCGGTGCATTTTTGATAAGTGACATGGTCACTAAGATGGCTCAAAGTGATGATTTAGATAATGATATTGATGAACTATTACATGAGTTTGAAGGAAAATGTCAACGGCCAATTCTTAATTGTATAATGTTCTATTGAGATATGTTGAAACAGATATTAGCCAAAAACAAAACAATGCTTCCAATATCTGAATATTTGACTAAAAATGTGACTGTAATCTTATTCATAAAATGACATTCACTCTGCCTCAGGAATGTATGCCTTGTATCATTTAATATTATTAAAATAACAATGTCATGGTATTAATAAGAATAATTAATTGTATGTTTTTTATGAATAAGATCTTTTATTACTTTTCCCAACAACTTTAGTAAGATTTTCAGCTAATATTGTTTACAATTTTATGCCAGACTGATCTTAAATACTGATGCTCTCATTGACTATATTTATATACATTTAGTATAGAGAACTGAATACAATTTTGAGTTTCAAGACTAATGTTCATAATGAATTTATTGTGTACATACATAAAGACAAGTGTTTTGTTTCTCTTTAAAGGAAGATTTTTTATTTTTTTATTAAATGTAGATTTTATTGACATTCATCTCTACTACAGATTTAATAAATAACAACTTAAAGTTACTGAAAAATTTGAATTGTAATAGTTATAGGTATCATAAATTATTTTCGAAATCACCACAGGGAAAGTTGGCAAGATGCTTCATTTATTATACTAGTGACGTAGTGCTAAAGCGAATTTGCGCTATTCTTGGTACTCGGGAGTAAGCACAGGTAATATCAATAAATTATCATCTTGAAACATGTCATTAAAAATATATGAAGGTAGGTACAGACATAGATACATATTCGAGGACATGATACACTTTTTTGTAAAGGGAAAATCATCATTATGACTTCTCAGGGTCTGTCAGACTTTTGTCCTTCTGTGCGAGCATAACTGTTTCGCAGAAAGAAGAGACTGCTTCCCAGTTCCATTAGCTCCGCAGTTCCGCACCATGGCGAGAGGTCGTCGCCGTCGATCACTTCTCTGAGGACACTGCGTTGCTCAGCCCAAGCAGGGCTTACCGCCACCGTATGTTCCACCGTGTCTTCTGGATGGGTCACACAATGACGATACTCGGGCGTTTTCTCCCACTGGATCCGATACGAACCTACTGAAGCTGCAGTGCCCGGTAAGCACCTTCATCAGGCGATAGGGCAGGACGCCGCTACAACAGCGTGCCCGGCCCTCGATTGCGACAGACGTTGTTCTCGTTGTTTTCCACTGTGCCATGCGATCGCGCCGGAGCTCATTCCACCACGCACTACTTTGACGAAATTTGAGAACATGCTATGGTTTGGCGTATTTAGGGGTATAAATTCTAAATCTGAAAGGGCCTTTCCACTACTCGTATCTCGTATCACTTATAAGATGAATGTATGAATATGTTAGCTGGCAGTATTTCAACATTATTTCTCCCTACTTCCATCTCTATGGCGCTAAGAAAAGTCCTATGTGTGTGACCGAGATCTAAATATTTACCTTAAAAAAAATATGTATGCCAGCCAGGAACAATTTGTTTTTATTTTAATTAATTACTTCATTAGTGCCGAGCGAGTGCCCATCGCTGGCGGATATTGAACCTGTGTCGGTGTGATGATGCAGGTATTTACGCAACGACAAATCGTGCAATGGATAGTATTAGTAAAATAAAAGAGTAGCGTTCCCTTTTTAATTGTAGGTAGGTATGCCATCTTCGCCCAGGTTTAGGCGAGAGAGAGTGTTAGACTCTTACTGACTAAAAAAATCCCCGTTCCTTCTCCTGCTATGGGCCGCGGTGACTCATTGCGCTTCAACCGCAACCTTTCTTCCGTGTCGTAGATGCATTTATTACGAATACATACATATAATAATATGTAGGTAAGTACCTATTTCATAGTGATTTCCATTCTGGTCTATTGCTTAAATTTCATCGACTTTTCAGTGGTGATCCAGAACAGGTAGGTACTACCTTCGTATCTATGATTTATTTCATATTTTTATACCTAGTAAAATCGCCTGTATCACCAGCTTCAAGTAAAAAAAAATATGTGACAGATTTGCAAACGAGCCGGAGCCGATGGAATATTGGACACTGACTAGTATATAGTACCTAATCTGTGATCCGCAACACCAGAGGAGTTAAATACGAGTGCGTTGCGAGCTTTTTGGGGATAAGGGTGTTATGTACTGATTGGGGGAAGCGAAGGACTGGGCTTCAGGTAAAATCGCTCACATGGCGAAATACAATGCAGTGGTTTTAAAACGGCCGTTTTCTGTAAAGCCGTGGTGTCACCAGCCGAGCCGATCCATTCGTGGAGAGACTTGGCCCTCCCAAACTAATAAAAGTTCCAGATATACTTATATGAAGTTATGTGGCACCTGGTGCATATAAAATTACGTTCCACTTTCACATAGTGGCCATTCAGTTTGTGATTTTACATTTTTTCTTCGTTACTTGCACGGTATTTGCATTTTGCAGTTTATCATTTCTCATTATAACGAACGAAAACTTTTTCTTAACTACAAGTTTGCCCTAAATTTACTAGTCGAAAATAAAATATATCTATAATTTTTAGACGCTGCTCGACCCCGGTTTTCCAATTTTATTGAAAGGCGTCAAAAGCAGTTAGCTATTCAAATGTACCTCTGTCGTTTTGACTATCTATATTTTACAGTTTTTTACGGACACTCGGAACTTACGGTAAAATAAATAAATACTAAAATAATGTTTTTTAATGTTAAAACGAATATATTATTATACTTAATTAATATAAACAGCCAACATAAATAATGATTAGGAATGTATTTTTCGATAACAATAAATTACAATTAGGTATTATTGCTAAGCAATAGGTAATCTTAGGTTTTTTTATCTACTTTGTAGTTGTACTTGATTTCTATATTTGCATTAAACTTAGTTTAGGTAAGATAGTCAAAACTATGTCAGGTGGCAACTAACACGAACGGTCAATCAACTGAGTTGCTTGAAAATCTTGTCTCTCAACTCGTAATATCTGTTTAACCTTATTTCTGCGTATCTGAAAAAATAATAATAAAGAAAGAACCTAATTATTAAGTGGGTACCATCGATCACTAATAAAGAACTAGATACACAATCCTATACAAAAGTTCGCTTTAAAACTGTCGTCAACTGTATTTAGGTACTTATACTTGAAATAAACATGCATTAATGTAAATTAAACCTTAAGTGCAACTCATAGAGTTGTTTTCACAAAGTGATATACAAAATCTAAACATTTTTTGCATAAATCATAAGAAATTGAACCATATTCGCATGTTTTTAAGTCGAATTTACAATGTGTCAAAAATGAGCAATAAAATTTAACGACTTCGGCTCACCGCTAGGACAAAGAATGATTGGAGTCGAAATGTCTCGTAATAAATATATTTCTTTCAATTTTTTTTTTGATAATTTATAATAAAAAATACGAAAATTAAAACGCATTACTTATAGTACCCATTAGGTTTGTTCATTTATTTACCAATGAAACTAATGCATATAGTTATAATTTTTTTTTATTATTTTCGTCCTCCTTAATCCTTCCTAAATTTGGAATATTTTTCAAAGTATATATGTATACTTTGAAAAATATTCCAAAATTATTATATATATACAAATATTCCAAAAGTATATATGTATACTTTGAAAAATATTCCAAATTCGAAGTCAAATAAAAAAGATGTAAAATAATAAAAAGAATATATATCTAAAGTAAGTACTGAAAATGTTGGCGTTATTGTTGTAAATTTTTCATATCGCACGGGGTTTTTGATGAAAAATAAAAAAAAAATTCTTTACTGCAGTTAAAATTAAATCCATTATATCTGCCTATTCCATATTTTAATAAACACAGTAAATAAGTATACTTTTAAATAAAAACTATTTTTTAATAAAAAAAAACAATAAATAAAATTAGAAACAATAGCGTCTCCGCTAAACGGAACAGAATCAATCCACGTAAACCGAACAACTTAAGTGGTCATGCTAGAGAATGATTTTACGTTTAGCATAAGTGTCTTTATAAACTGTGTGCATTATAACCCCGGTTTTTGAATACGAATTCATTTGGAAAAAGTTTTAAAGTTGATTTCTTAATAAAATATCAATATTTAAAATAGAATGATGACAATTATATAATGATAATATTATTACTTAACGAAAATATGAAATTCCATCCTTCTTTGCGTCTTAGATGTGTGTTTTTTTGCAGTTTTTAAACGAGCACTGAGGCGTGTTTACCGTCGGAGCATTCGAGTGGTACTAAACTAAAACTACACCGCGATGTTGAGTTTGGTGGACTTTCAGTTAGGACATTTTTTTGTCACTGATTGTGTATCTAGTTCTTTATTAGTGATCGATGGTGGGTACTTAAAAAAACGAATAGGAACTGGCTATTTTTTATCCATTTCAAAATTAACGAGAAACTCACCTCCCAAAATCAAAATCGATATTAGAATGTTCATATTGCACAAGCGACCATATTCCCCACAGGAAGTGGGAAAGCAACGACATTTGTTGAACTTCTTTATAAACTTTTCTAATTTGTGGCTCTGTAGGATGATCCACATCTAAATACATTGCTAGATATACTTTGATCCACTCGAATTGAAACTCCTCACATGGATATCTGTCATAATCGATGTCATCTATGGATAGACCTAAAAACAATAAATAGGTACTTTAGTCAAACGAAACATTCTATTTTGATGACCAAGGAAGAAACATCAGTTCGCCACGGTGACCTCGAACACAGTAAACAGGATGGATATATATATATAAAGGCCAATACAATGGCTGGCAATAAATCTAGTTTAGCGACAGGAACCAAGCTATGAGGATACGGAAACTAATGTTTTATTAAATAATTCTATTAACAAAATAGCCCTAGGCACAAATTGTTTGAGAACAGGGACCACCTAACTAAACCATATCTAGGTATAGTGTCCAATCAAAATCTAGAACGGTTTCATACTCACCAACAAATTCATTGAAGTGATTGGCTATATCAAACGCTTGGTAGCAGTACGCTGCGTATTCATAATCTATGAAAGATATTGTTCCTTCATCTTTGTTGTATATTACGTTTCCTAGAAGCAAATCATTGTGAGCAAACACAATAGGACTTTCGGTTTTTGATAAAAGCGTTTTAAGACGCTCGTATTCTATCCTTAGTTTTGTTATCGAGCTGAAACTATTTGTGAATCTATAAAAAAGAAAAAATAATTTTGTTTAGTTTGACTTTCGTTAATGATTATACTTGGTAACTATTGTAAGTAATTCTAATGAATACTCATTCTAGCTGCGGCGATAGGGCGATGGGTAGATCATGTTAAGCTTAATAATTGCACTTTGGGATATGGATAATGCGATCAATTATAAGTCGGGTGGTGTTTTGGATAGCTACTTAGGGTTATTTCGACTAGTTCATTGTATTTAATAATTATTTTATTTTCAACAGGATTCAAAAGTGTGGACCCATTCGGAAACATTA